GTAGAGACGGGGTTTCACCATGTTGACCAGGATGGTCTCGATCTCTTGACCTCGTGATCCACCCGCCTCGGCCTCCCAAAGTGCTGGGATTACAGGCTTGAGCCACCGCGCCCGGCTCAGAATATGTATTTTCAACAGATATCTGTTTCCTATGGAGTATGTTATCTGACCACATGGCATTAAGACAGAAAGTATTAACAAAACATCCAAAAAGCCTCAAATGTTTGGAAATTAAATAATGTACTTCTAAATAATCTATGGTCAAAAAAGAAATTATAAGATTTCAAACTGAATGCTAATGAAAAACATCAAAATTTGTTTGATATAAGTCAAGCAATGCTTAGAGGGAAATTTATAGCTGGAAAGCTTATATCAGAAAAGTAAAAAGGACGAGGCACAGTGGCTAACACCTGCAGTCCCAGTACTTTGGGAGGCCGAGGCAGGAGGATTGCTTGAGCCCAGAAGTTTGAGATCAGCCTGGACAGTGCAGGGAGACTAAGTCTCTAAAAACATTAAAAAAAAAAATTAGCCAGGTGTGGTGGTACACACCTGTGGTCAGGGGCTGAGGTAGAAGGACTGCTTGAGCCTGGAACACAGAAGTTGCAGTTAAAGAAACCAAAGAAGCATTGAAGCATAACAGAGAAATTAATAAACATTATGCCAAAAATCAAACAATATATATGAAATGAAAATATTCCTTGAAAAATACAAGTTATCAAAACTGTCACAAGACAGAATAGAAAATCTAAATAGCTCTCTATATGTATTAGATAAATTTGTTATCTAAAAATCTTCTGAAAGGCACGGTGGCTCACGCCTGTAATCCCAGCACTTTGGGAGGCTGAGGTGGGCAGATCACTTGAAGTCAGGAGTTTGAGACCAGCCTGGCCAACATAGTGAAAGGGAATCTCTACTAAAAAACAAAAACTAGTCAGGCTTGGTGCCAGGTGCCTGTAATCCCAGCTACTAGGGAGGCTGAGGCAGGAGAATTGGTTGAACCAGGGAAGCAGAGGTTGCAGTGAGCTGAGATTGCACCATCACACTCCAGCCTGGGCAACAAGAGTGAAACTCCATCTCAAAATGGGTGAAATGAAAATCTCTGTCACTGAAATAGGGCAAAAGCAGCAAAAAAAGACATGCAAGAGCAAGAGCCAGGCATGGTGGCTCATGCCTGTAATCTCAGCACTCTGGGAGGCCGAGGGAGGTGAACCACCTGAGGTTGGGAGTTTGAGACCAGCCTGGCCAACATGGTGAAACCCCGTCTCTACTAAAAATAGAAAAATTAGCCCGGCATGGTGGCATGCACCTGTAATCCCAGCTACTCAGGAGGCTGAGGCAGGAGAATTGCTTGCATCTGGGGGGCAGAGGTTGCAGTGAGCTGAGATTGTGCCACTGCACTTCAGCCTGGGTGACAGAGCAAGACTCCAACTCAAAAAACAAAAATAAAAATTAAAAAAAATACATACAAGAGCAGAAAGGAAGAAGCAAAATTGTTTTTATTCACAGATGGCATCATTGTTTATGTAAAAAGCTCTAAAGACTCTATAAAACAACTACTAGAACTAATAAATTTAGCAAGTTCACAGAATACAAGAAATAAAACAAAAATTAAAAAACAAAACAAAACAAAGAAATTCCAGTAAGTTTTATTTTGTATTTGCAGCAAAAATGAGAAAATGAAATTTAATTTTTTTTTTTTGAGACTGAGTCTCATTTTTCACTCAGGCTAGAGTGCAGTGGCACAATCCTGGCTCACTGCAGCCTCTGCCTCCCGGATTCAAAAGATTCTCCTGCCTCAGCCTCCCAAGTAGCTGAGACTGCAGACACCTGCCACCATGCCTGGCTAATTTTTTTGTATTTTTAGTAGAGATGGGGTTTCACCATGTTGGCAAGGCTGGCCTCAAACTCCTGACCTCAGGGGATTCGCCTGCCTAGGCCTCCCAAAGTGCATAGGTATGAGCCACCACATCTGGCCGAAATTTAAAACTCTTTTTACAGGCATGGGCCACCACGCTCAGTTGAGAAAAAACTTTAAAGACCCAAATAAAGAAGAGATATACCATATTCATAGATTAGAAGACTCAATCTTAAAATGGCAATTGTCAGCCAGGAGTGGTGGCTCACACCTGTAATCCCAGCATTTTGGGAGGCTGAGGAAAGTGGATTACCTGCGATCAGGAGATCGAGACCAGCCTGACCAACATGGTGAAATCCCATTTCCAATAAAAATACAAAAAAATTAGCCAGGCATGGTGGTGGGCACCTGCAACCCCAACTACTTTAGAGGCTGAGGCAGGAGAATCACTTGAACCTAGGAAACAGAGGTTGTGGTAATCAGAGATCACGCCATTGCACTCCAGCCTGGGTGACAGAGCAAGAATGTCTCAATAAAAAAAAAAAAAAAAAAAAGATGGCAAGTGTCCAAAAACTGATCTATAAAGTCAATGCAATTACAATAAGAATCGCATCAGACCTTTTTGCAGAAATTGATAAACTGATTAAAAAATTTATATAGATGGTGGCTCAAGCCTGTAATCCCAGCACTTTGGGAGGCCGAGGCGGGTGGATCACGAGGTCAAGAGATCAAGACCATCCTGGTCAACATGGTGAAACCCCGTCTCTACTAAAAATACAAAAAATTAGCTGGGCATGGTGGCGCGTGCCTGTAGTCCCAGCTACTCAGGAGGCTGAGGCAGGAGGATTGCCTGAACCCAGGAGGCGGAGGTTGCGGTGAGCCGAGATCGCGCCATTGCACTCCAGCCTGGGTAACAAGAGTGAGACTCCGTCTCAAAAAAAAAAAAAAGAAAAATTTATATAGAAAACGCTAACACCCAGAATAGTCAAGAACAATGCTGGAGAACTTATACTACCCAGCTTACTATAGAACTACAGTAATTAAAGACAATGTGGTACTGGCATAAAGGCTGTTAGGCAGACTGATAAAACACAATTGAGAATCCAGAAACAGTCCCACACTTATATGGCTATTTGATCTTCAACAAAGATATGAAATCAATACAATAGGGAAAGAAAATTCCTTTACCAAATGAGGTTCGAACAACTGGATATCCGTATGGAAAAAAATAAAATAAACTTTGACCCTTAATTCATGCCATACACCAAAATTAACTCAAAATAGACCATAAATACAAAATCTGACTATAAAACTTCTAGAAGAAAACATAGAAGAAAGTCTTTTATGATCCTAGACAGACAACGATTTGTATTTTGTTTTGTTTTGGTTTTTGTTTCTTTTCTTTTTTTTCCAACAGGGTCTTGCTCTGTCACCCAGGCTGGAATGCAGTGGCCTGACTGCAGCTCACTGTAGGACTTCCCACCTTCAAGTGATCCTCCTGCCTCAGCTCCCAAGAAGCTGGGACTACAGTTGTGTGCCACCATGATTGACTAATTATTTATAGAGATGGGGTCTCACTATGTTGCCCAAGCTGGTCTTGAACTCCTGTGCTCAAGCAGTCCTCCCTCCTCTGCCTCTTAAAGTGCTGGGATTACAGGTGTGAGCCACTGTGTCCAGTCAGAATCCTTATAACATAAAAAGCATGAGCCAAAAAGGAAAAAACTAGACTTCATCAAAATTTAAAACTTCTTTTCAAAATATACAGTTCTAAAAATGAAAAGGCAA